CCTTAGCCCTTTATAACAAATGCTTTTGCTAATACTATTTACTTTTACAGTAAGTCATGTATTACAACTAAAATCTCTTTCACATTTTTCTCATATTTGTTCAGAAAAAAATAGAGATACTAGTTAGCATATATATTTTCTTTTTATTATATACGAAATTAATATATCATACAAACTTGTCTAATAATCTGCATATTTTTGTCACATAATCTGTAGCTCAGCAAATTCTTTTAAGCTAATGATTACCACTCTAAATCAGCCTAAATCAGGGTGAACGAATATGTCAAATAGTCATCTATTAAGGCTTATATAATAACTGATGTAAGACCTATTTGTTTAGCTAATCTTCAATTTTTACAAGAGTAAACTTATATCTAATCTAGTTCTAGAAAGACTTCTTCTTATAGACATTCCACATTTTTTTAGTGATTTAGTAATAATCTTCAGACTGGTAATACAACTTATGGAATATGAGATTTCAATATATAAGTTGTTCTCTTTTGGGTCTTTTTAATAGTTTGAGACTTACTTCCCCTTTTATGTATTATTTATGCTATAACAATTATAAAGATCCTATATTGATAAATTTTTTAGAATAAAAAATATTAATTCGGACACAAGCTGATCAAGTAAATTAATTAGCTATATGCATTTTATATGGTTAAAAGATTTTTTTCAATTGAAAATAAGGTAATTGATACTTATGACTCAAGCAAATTCTTCTGAGCTAATGATCATTACTCAGCAAAGCTGACTAGTTAGATTATTCAGATTCTGATTCAGTTTTAGAGCTAGAAGATTCTGAATCATAACAGTAAACTTCATCAAAATTTTCGATATAAATATTTGGTTTTAGTTAATCTATGATTTTTTTGCCAATATTTTCACATCCTTTCAAATCTAAAAATTTTAAATTGAGATATGAATAAGCAATTTCTTTAATAATCATACTGGTAATATTGCAATATCTAAGGATAAGATATTGAAGTTTCAGGCAGGAGCGAATAATATTACAAATTGATGATTCACTAACAAAATCATAGCAATTCAGATTAAGATATTCTAATTTATGATAAGTATGAGCTAGTACTTCAGTAATCTCATTACCAATATCATTATGACCAATCTCTAAATGTCTTAAATTCAGAGATTCTTTAATGATGGCTATAATCAATTTATTATTCTACAAAGCCATAGCCTCACTAAAGTTAAGATACTCTATTTTGAAGCGTCTTTACATCAAAGTACTAGCATCTTTGATATCCTTTTTACTATATACAATATCAAGATTTTGTAAATTTAGGCATGAGTTTAAAATGCAACTTATAGATTTATCTGTGATCTGACATACTTTGGCAAAATAAAACACTTGTATATCATAACAATTTTCTGCGATTTCAAATAAAGATTTATTGGTAATATTTCTATAGTAAGAAATATTTAGATATTTTAATTTACGGTATGATCATATGATTATATATAAACCTTTATTAGTTATTGCTTAAGTATTCTACAAATTAAGATATCTTAAATTAAGATATAATTCTGCTATTATAAATAGTGATCTATTACCAAAACTTAAACCATTTTTGAAATCTAAATGAATTATTTGAAAATATATTCACAATACTTTTGTTTTTTTATCTGAAAATAAATGGTAAGTAATTTCTAGATGAATTAGATTTGAGATATAAGCTGGCTTATGCTTTTCACGCATTATTTTTATAAATCTTTTCAAACAAGTATGGTTTCTTACATAATAATTATAATCTTCTAAAAAATAATGTTCATATTTCAGGTCATCTTCCTTTAGCTCTACACATTCCATAGAATAGAAGTATCACATCTGTATCATAATTAGAAAACAAATAGAGTAGAATAGAGAGATTTATCTATTGCTAAAAATGTAAAATCTGTTCTAATACTTCTAATATAATACAATGCTTAATTGCATCATAATTAATCTGTATTATATATTGTATCTTCAAACAAAAAAATAAAATTATGCAATCACTGCTCTAAACTGATCTTATCAATCTTTAATCTTAAACATATCACATCTTCTTCAATTATAACTGGAATAATATGACCTGAGCTGATAGCAATATTATAAGACTGACTACTTGTATGTTTATATATAATTATTAAATTAGTCTCTTTTTCTGTTCAATGAAATCTCCAGACTCCTTCATTACGAATTGATTCTTTGGTATTAATCTTTTTATAAATTCCAATCTTATTAATAACTTCTGTATATCAGATTAATCAACTTGTATTATATTACTCATAGTTCATATTATAGATATGTTAATATATTCTAGTGAAAAAAAGAAAATAACTAGTTGATGGTCATTTTTCTGGACTAATCCTTTCCACTATCTCATCTAATGCAAATACTTTTAGCCTATCCAAAAGAACTTTAAATGTATTCTCAAATGATAATCCTTTGAGAAATAGATTTTTAAGAAGCCATTCTAGATAGTCTTACTTAAATTATACTCTTTTAGTTTTGAATAATATTCCTTTACTGTATAATTGTCTTGAACTATTCTCCTAAATAAAAATTTCATTCTTTTGCATCATTCAAGATTTACCTCTCTTTCTCATATATTATTTATACTGCGAGAATTTTTTAGTTTCTGTTCTAAAAGATACTTTAGAATAAATAATATTATCTCTAGTGAAAGAAGATCAAGTAAATTATCTGTATGCATTATTTTATTTATATAGTTAGAATTTATTTCAACCAGAAAAATAAATCTTCTGAGCTGAGGATTACTGCTCCAGATTAGTTAAATTAGTAGAGTACTATACCATTCTGCTTAATTGACTAGTATTCTTACATCTTCAAATGAAAAAAATGTAAAATACAATATACTGAACAATGCAATGCTAATGATCACTGCTTTAGACTAACTAGATTGGTCAGCTAGTATATCATCTAAAACTATCACAATTGTATTAAAATTAGATTGCCTGTATATCTAATATAAGGTTGAATTCTGATTAGAAACAACACTATGTCTAGGAAAATCACTAAATATAAAGTCAGAATATATTCTAGTATTCACAAAATTCTCAATGTGAATATTTAGATTAAGTAAAAGAAGCTTATCTACAGCTTCTTTGCTAATTTTATAATATCCTTTCAGATTAAAATATTTTAAATTAAGATACGAACTAGCAATCTCTTCAATCATTATATTAGTAATTTTACAAAATCTAAGGTCAAGTTGTTAGAATTTTAGATAAAAACAAAAAATATTACAAATTGATAATTCACGAATATCTGTGCAGTGAGAAATATTTAGATATTCTAATTTATGGCATAATAGGGTAATTGCAAATAGACCTTTATCAGTTATTATGCCTATATTATAAGATATATATTTGTTATTTTGCAAATTAAGATACTTCAGATTGGGATATAATTTTACTATTCATTTTAATATTTTGTTGCTAAATCTTATGATATAATTAAAATGTAAATAAATTATATTTAGGAACAAGTATACAATGCTATTGAATTTTTTATCTAAAAATGAGTGATAGTGTGAAATTTTCAGATGAGTTAATTTTGAGCTATAAATCAGCTTTTGTCTTCTACGTACTATTTTCATAAATTTTTTCAATCAAGAGTGATGTATATTATTTTCCTTTAGCTCGACATATTTTCATAGAATAGAAGCACCATATCTGTATCAAAGCTGACAAATAAATAAAGCAGGATATAGTGATTTATCTACTTCTAGGAAATATAGAATCTGCTTTAATAGTTCTGATAAATTTATAACATTCAAATGCGTTATAAATAATATATGTTATATCTTTAACAAAAAATAAAATTACGCATATTAATAATCATTGCTTCAAATAATCATTATTCTGCATTAAGTTCATATTTTACTTCTTTGAATAGAATTGCAATATTATTATTTAATAATAGTTTTGAATTATATATATTTAAAGTTGCATAATTTTCTTGAAACTATGGCATTCCTAATACTAAGTCTAGATAATAATCAGGCTAATCCAGTTCAAGAACTATGAATTCAATAGATATGTTTTTATGCTTCTCGTCATTTTCAAAATCAATATGCAGATTAACCTTTTCTAATGTAGAATAGAATGCATTCAGAGTTATAATGCTATTGCTTTCACTGTGATATGTAATTAATAATTCACCAATATGTTTTTGACTAATGCAATTTATATCAGTAGATATATCAATTGATGTCTCAATAAGATATTTTTTTCAACTACATAATTCACGAATACCATTTTATTATAGCATATATAATATTCAAATATAAAAATAAACCTTTATTCAACGCTCAGTAAGATAATCAAGTGATCATGCAAAATGTTTAATTTTTTGAATTTCTCTAGCTCAACCCATTTTAAACTACTAACCATTTAATTTTTTTTGGTTATATCTTCCTTTGTTACTTATGATAGATAGCCTCATTTTCTCTTATCACAATTGTCTTGACCGAATTAAATTTTTTGGAAGACTCAGGCAAATAAGAGAAACCCTTACCTTTTTTAGCAATTATTGAGGGAACTATTTCATATATTAAGTTGATCACAGTCTTCATATCTATATATTTGTCTAGTTTTACATATTGTTCAGATCTTTTAATTTAGTCTTTAAAGACTTTGCCTCTTTCTCTAATCGTTTTATCCTCTTTTCTAAAGTGTTGTATTAGAAATGATAGTCTTCCAATTGTTTCTTTAGCACTCTATTTTCACCAGAAAGTGCATTATATACCTCTGTATTTTGCTTATATAATCCAAATGCCTAGGCTAATATCTTCGTATATTTGATAACTTACTGCTCTCTGAATGCATTGAATGAATGATTTTGATTAGTTACCATTTTTTGTGATATTTTATATATAGTATATTTTTGTCTCAAATAAAAAAATAGCAAAACATTTTTAGAAAATTATGCGATCATGTAAAGTGCCTCTCAGTCTGCTTCAGATTAGCATTTATTTTTAAATTTCAACTAACATTGCATCAATTTCAGCTAGCAATAAATCTATATTCATAGTTTGAAACTTTTTTAGATCAGGTTGAAACACAGGCAAAAAAGCCTGTATTTGGAATTTTAGATTCTCACTCTTAGAAGAGGACTTCTCTAATTTTGTATCACTTATAGCATAATTATCACTTGCATCAAGATGGTCAGATTCTTGTCTTAATGTGATTCTCGAAAACAGTTTAAGATACTAAGGAGTTGGGTTCTTATTACTATGAATTCTAAAAGTGTATTTACTTCTATAATCTTTTGATTTTTTAGGTATGATTTTATAAGATTCTTGCTTTAAAAATTCATTAAATGGCTAAGCATTATGTGTTTCACTTTTAGTAAAGATAGGGTCAGATAACTTTTTAGTCTTAATTGTATTTTGAATTTAAGTAAGCAATTCTTTTACGTATTCTGAATTCTTTTCCATAGAAAGAAATAGTTGAGAATCAGAATTCTTTTTCTTTTCTTTTCTTTTCTTTAAATAGCTAATACAATACTAAAAATAGCTTTCTTTATACTATGATAGAATGTTCAAAAAGTTTAATTTATAGATATTGATCTGAAAAGATCTTATTTTTGCAGGTTTCATACTCAATATTACTATCACATCCGCAAGATTCTCTCTAGTAGGAATTTTAGAAATATTCATGTTCTGAATCCTTTTATTCATATTTGTTAAGGAGAAATGTATAAGAATTCTGTTCATATTAGCCATTCACTTTTTAGTTTGTTCTTTTTGAATTTTATTAAAATCTTGAATAAGGTCTTTATCTTTGGAAAATTCTTTAATAATTGTAGGATCTACATCACCTTTTGCTAACTTCATATTGAAACTGACAGAAACTGACAGACTAGTCGTATATGACAAATCTGCTAAATCTGTTATATCTGCCAAATAGGATATACATAATATTTATTATTTCTCTATTATTTTTATTATTATTATTATTTATATCGTATCTAATATAATTAGCATATCTGTTAGCTCTGTTATTATTATCAGTAGTATCATATTTACCATAGATTTTCTTAATTGTAATTT